TTGCTATACAACATGCAAATGTTCATATTCTACCAGTAGGCCTCACAAAATAGTGAATGGACAGTTCAGACATGTTTATAATGGTTTCTGTCATGGCCAGGATTCTCTCACAATCCAGGAACTCTACAAATAACTTTGTTTCCTCTTTTCTTTCTTCTTAGCTGATATCATATCACAAGTGGAAAAGCAAATAATCATTTGGAAACAGAGTGGATTTCAGGACCAAGCTAAGATCTTCCTGCCATTGAAAATACTATTTACTAGCTACTAAGTATTAACTCATTTAGTCTTTGTAATAATCCCATTTAAGATAGATAGACATTTTCATTTTATAGATTGGTTAACTGAAGCCAAAGGTAACTGATCAAGTTGTCTAGAAGTTACACAGCTGGAAAAAGATGAGCTTGAGTTGCACCTAACAGTTGGTGCCCCAGGATACAACTTCATAACCACAGTGCTACACTACCTGTTTCACTGAGTGACTGAGTGCGTTACAACACACGCTTCCCATGGGAGTACTGTAAAAATTGCAGCATGGACTCAAGACTCTTTCTCTTATGCCCTCAATGTCCCCTGCTTTATGAAATTGAGCCTCTCTGGAGTTCCTGGCTTCAGAATATGGGAATTTTCCAAAAGAAAACCAAGCCAAACCTGCCCTTAGGCAAGAAGAAAGGGCTCTTTCTTTTGCTTTGTTTCCAGCTTATTTTGTTCCTGTATTTGTACATTCAAGTTGCATTCCTACCCAGAACAGGGGAGAAAAAAGAAATTGTACCTGAAAATGGCTCATTTGCCCTGAGAACATGACATCAATGCCCCCCAGCCCCAGCTGTGTCTGTTATTCATTGAGAAGTATGGGTCCCGATTCCAACTAATAACTTGGGCTAGGGAAGGCCGTTTCAGGCTTGCTAGTTGAACTTACGAGAACGTTTGATCATACTCACTTCCATGTACCATCCTGCCATTCCTCATTGCCTCTCTTACCCATCACTTCCTGTCTGCTTATCATCGTGACGCCACCACCCTGGCTTGTGAAGCAGTCATCTGCATTGCTTTGTCCTGTTTGTTAAGTGGTTCCTTCTTACCCAAGAGCTCCAGGGAAGTCTCCCCGAGGTGTGTAGCTTTCTCCTGGGAGATGTCCAGTGACCCCACTACTGACCTGGCTCCCCAAAGCCACTCACTTCCATAAACCTAGTCTAGTCTTCCCGGTGACAACCCCAGAGCCTGCCTCTGAGACAAGTTAAAGATTTATTTCCACTGTGTGTGTGTGTGTGTGTGTGTGTGTGTGGTTGGCACAGTCTGTCCCAAATGTGTGGGGGTACCTGCAGAGGAAAGGTGTTGGGTACTCTGGAGTTGGAGTAACAGCTAGATGTGAGTGCTGGGAAGATCAGTGTTCTCTATTATCCTGGCCACTTTTAATCTCTGAAATGATGTGCTATCTTCCCACGTGGGCACATGAAGGTATAGTTCCAGGATTTGGTTGTAGTTTCTGTGGAAGAATGTTCTGGTCTCGGCCTCATTCTGTGCCTGTGACTTATTGGGCAGGATACTGAAATGTTCTTTAGTCAGCATTTCAAAGAAATAAATTTAAACAACCAAAGCTGAATTCACCTTTGGAGGCAATGGACAATTAGCGAAAAACGGAATAAAATGAAAAAGGGAATTTAAAATTTCCCTGTCTCCCATGGGCTATGCCACTTTACTTGAAGCCTGTCTACCGTGTGTGTGTGTGTGTGTGTGTGTGTGTGTGTGCAACAAAGGCACTCTTACTAGTTTTCTAAGCCTGAGTCATCACTTTGATATATAAATCTCTTAGTCTGATGAGATTGAAAGGAAAAAACGCTTCCCCACGAAGCTGAAGGCTTTCCCAGGCCTCAGCAACACTCTTGTTCAGCATGTGTCATGGCTGTGACACAGCCCTCTAGAGCCCTGCTCCTGCCCTCAGCCCTGTAGGCTCTGTGGGGACTAGGAGTGCCCTGCAGAACTTTCTCCTGTGATGGACCTTTATGGGAGCTTAGGCATAGATGCTAGTAGGCAGTGTGGGTTCGAGCACACACTCTGGCGTCGCACTGCTGTGAGTCGCAGTTTTATCCAGCCTGGCACCTTATCCTGGGCAGATGGTGCTGGTCTTGGCAATCCTCAGTTTTCTCAAGGGGAAAGTGAGGGTAGCTGGAGTATCTGCTTCCCGGGGTTTACATGAGAGATAAATCAGACGTTGAGAGAGTTATTAATGACTACACATGAGCAGCCTAGATAGACAGAACTTACCAATGCTAATAAGAACAGTGATTTGTTCATGAATTGTCCCGGCAAAGGATGCCCTGCTGGTTTCAGCAGATGCATCACGAAGGTAGGAATACTAGGTGCCGCACACACGATGAGGAAACTTCATCAGTGTGTGTCTACAGTCCGCAAGCAAACTGAAGAATTCCAAGGTCAGGGGTCGGCAATAGAGGGAGAATCCAGTGTGTTTGCCTGTGGGGATCCTGTGCAAGGGGAGCCCCAGACAGTTGCGTCCACCTCACTCTCTGGCCTGCACCTCTCAAGTTCTCTCATCCCCAAAGCCGTTCTCAGAACAGCACCTCACTGCTTACAATGGAAAGTGATGGTGTCCATGAGCTTCCGGCCCCTCTATGTGTGCTGTGTCCTGCCAGCATGCCCACTTGAGTGGTCTGCCAAGGGCTGACACTGTAGACCTCGCAGGATCGGTGACAGCACTGAGTCTCAGTCTGAGAGGATGATAGTGAGAGCACATAGACATAATTACTGCATGTGCCAATGCTGACATAAAGCAACCAGACCCACAGGCAAATGGTCCTCATGCCGGAGTTAATTGTAGTGAAAAGAAATGAGGAGGCTGAGCTGGCTGTCAATGCTCATAACCAATTTGCACCTGGATGCTTCGAACGAGTCACTTTAGAAGGCATGTTCAGAGCAACTGTTAATTATAATCATTAAATATAATTGCATCAACTAAAATTTGAAGATAAGCTTGGACTTAGTCGTTACTGGATACGATTGGCACAGGTCAGCCGTGAGACTAAGTGCTGACCCACAGAATCAAGACTGTAAGTCCCAGAGTACAGAGTACAAGATCAAAGTCCTGGTTCCATGCTCCCTGTTTCACAGAAGCTTAAACTCTGAGAAATCAAATGATTAGACCTGCAAGTATACACACACACACACACACACACACACACACACACACACACACACACACTTCTCTCCCTTAGTGTCAAGAGCAGGTGTGCTTTTCCATATCTGCCCTCAGTCTTGACAACTAGGCTACTTAACATGACCTCATAACTCAGTGTTCTTTGCTCCCGGATGAACTGAACCTTCTGAAGTAAACGTCTAACTCATAATTAGTTAATTCCAAAGGCATTAATGTTGACATAGTGTTCAATTAGCAGCAAGGGAGGGCGGTGGCGGAGGAGGAAATCTCCGGTAAATTGATCCGCCCTTTCCCACACCTGCTCAGCTGCTCCATCCACGTCAGTCAACAGCAGCAGTCAGAAGAAAACAAGCCCCCAGTCCACCCAGCCCTCAAGTTCATTTCCCAAGCGCTCATTTGAGTGGCGTGTCATATTTTCACTTGGCTGTATGAGCCAATGACAATAGTTGGTTTTTATTATGCAATGCCTAAAACTTCACTGATGGCTTCAGGTGTTGAAAGCAACAAAAACCCTCAATGAAGATTACAGTTATGAAGCTGTTTAGGACTCAATCCAGGCTTGAGGTAGCAGGACTGGAGTGCCATGGGCTAGGGTGGTCAGCCCCTGACAGACGTGAGGAGACCCAGAGACGCAGATGGGCATCCCAGGCTACCCCTCAGGGTTTCTGGTTGTGAATCGCCATGAGGTGGAGGGTTGGGGATATCTCAACAGGACTGCAGTTGTCCTACTATGCTTTCTTGAAATAAATGGATCGAGAGCTCTGTACAAAATGACACTTGATCTCCCACATCCTGGAGCTAAGTGGAGACCCCAGCCAGTTACATTTTTGCTTATGCTTGGCAAATGCATAATCTTTCTTTGTGTGTGAAAAATATAATTCAACTTTTCAAAGCAAACTGGCATTCCAAGAAGCAAATTTTCTACATCAAAAATGGCTGGATTTGGATGTGACTCATTCCTTCTTATAAGACAGAGTGTATCTGTGCCCTAAGGTCCAGCAGTATCATCCTAGGAATGCAATTTCGTATAGAAAAAATAAGTATCATGCATGGGATGAATAGAGTCCTTTATCAACCACAAGAACACTAAAAAAAAAAGAGTTGGCAAAGAGTTTATCAGGTCTGTACTTTAAAATTATTAATAGGCCAGAAATAGATTATAGTACTGGGTTAGATTATGCAGGTACTTTTAATGAAGCATTAATGTAACTGAAAAAAAATAAGACATCAATTAAAGAAGATATCCTGGTCTCTATATTCTCTGCGTTGTTCAGGATGGGGAGAGATGGACAGTGAGGCCTTTGTGGCTGAGACCCAGAAGGAAGCTCTTCAGGCCCCAGCAGAAGCTAGAAGCCTGACTTCCACTATCTGGTTGTTCTGAATCCCGCAGGCAGGAAATGAGGGAAAGGTTTCCCCATGGTTGACAGTGGTCTGAGGTCGTGGCTGGAGGGCTGCAGAGGTGCCTGAGCCTGGCTTCCCATGGCCTTGACCAGTGTCACCATGTCTTTGTCCTGGGGGACAACCTCCTTCCCACCTTACAGGAGCCTACGGGGAACTCAGGTCTCTGGCATCAGTGTTTGGATTTCAAGTGGCCTAGATGTGTCACTCGTGCTTTGCTGAGGGAAGGGAGACCATTTCCAAAGAACATGCTCATGTTTACAGCTCAAACACCAGACACCCAGTTGGTGCATCACAGATGTTTGGTGAATTGTGTAGAATACGCTAGAATCTAGGAGAAAACACAATTGGTTTTGTGGTACTATCCCCATTAATGACGCAGCTGTGTCCTTGTGGCATAAATGTGTGCACCAGAACTAAGAGTAACAAGGAAGAAGGTGTACATCGGTGCCTCTCCTCAGCCAAACCCTGTTCCCACAATACCCCTCCCTCCGCTCCAGATGGGTTGGACAGCATCACTCTGACTCACAGAGATGCTGGAATATTCCCATTACTTGATTGTTCTCTGTGGTTCTTAGGGTGTTGTGGGGGTTCCACGAGTTTCTGTGGAATGAATGAGTATACTCATGGTTATTTACCTCAGGGACATCCAGGTCTCATGAACTGCAGCCTGGGCAACACTCTCAGCAGCCTTGGATGTGGGCTCGGGGAGACATGGATGGTCAGGGTGTTCAGCCTTTCACCCTCAGCCCTCCTTGGGTGGCGCTGACTGTTCAGGTTTGGCGGGTCCTCCTCTGACAGCTGTCAACTTGCCCTTTGTCCACCAGTTTCATCGCAGTGAATTATGGGTACAAGAACTTAGTGCTGCTTGTAAACCTATTCTCAGATCAAGAGTGCGTCCACCGGTCTTCGATGTTTCTTTGGGATCACACTTCCTGCATTTTATCTCATTATTGTGCCTCTTCCTCATTTTCTTAAAAGAAAGAAAGAACTAACGCACTAAGTGTATTAGTCAGCTCCGCACTGTAGTACATACTGAAAAAGAGGACTGGCTTATTTATTTTGGGCCGTGGTTTCGGGGTTATTAACCTATGGTTGCTTGGCCCTGTTGCTTTGGAACTATGGTGAGACAGAACATGCGGCAGTGGGGACCTGCTGATCTCATGGTACCCTTCCTTTTCCAGTCCTACACCCCCTGCCATATTTGCAACCTACTCCTTTCCTCATTGCTGATTTCAGGATAATGCCAAACCCTTGCATTTGGGGGTCTTAGATTTGAGACTGGTCTTGTCAGACAGGGAAGTATATTTCCCAGGATTCCATGCCCTCTAGCTTCAGGAATTTACAACTATTGAGAGGAATACAGACGGCTGGACGTTGAGAGGAAGAGGACAATAGAGGCCTTTCCTCCCTACCCTCAGCCCTTGCTTTGAATAGAAGTCTGTTGTCCTTGACCCCAGGGATGGAACCATGTTCTTGTTCCTCTTGAGATTGTGCTTCCATTATCTTCTCAACCAATCCCTGCACCAAGTCTGCTCTGTTTAAGAAACCTAGAGGGGTTTCTTTATAGCTCTTTCATTTTCTCCTTTTCTTTCTCTCTTTTCTCCTCCCTCCCTCCCTCCTTCCATCTCTCCCCGTTTCCCTCCCTCCCTTTCTTCCTCGATCAATCACAATGGTTCTGTTGTTGCTTTGGGACTGTGGTGAGGCAGATCACACTGCAGATAGGGGGACCTGTTGACCTTTGTATGTTGACAAAGCCACATACTACATCTGACCTCATGGAAGCCAGCCCTTCCATTCCTTCCAACCACCCTGTGGGATGAAGCTCCTTCGCAAAAGCATAGGCATCTCTCAGAATAAGTGTGATAACCAGTTGTTTGTGAACAATCTCTGAAAAATTGGAAAGACTGGTATATTGTGAGTACTGTGTATATGTCAGTAGTTAATATCCAGATAAAGCTGTCCCTTAGTATCTTCAAAGGACGGTTTCAGAATCCAGTAAACATCAAAATCTGCCTATTCCTCCTACAAAGTACTTGCTTATAAACTGTGCTCTTACTCCTGCATACTTTAAAATAGTCTCTAACTACTTAATATTCTAATACAAGAGCTATATCTACATAGGCGCTATAAGCGTATGGACTAGGGAGTTACAACGGAAATGTCGATATGTGTTCAATGTAAATGCAATTTGTTTGTCAATATTTCTGACTTGAAGTTGTTTGGATCCATGCAGAACACACAGATGTGGAGTCATACTCTCTGCACACCGAACATTTAATTTCTATTTCCTTTGGAAGATTCTAGGCTTGCACTGAGGAGCTCCTTTTCTGATCACTTTGTTTTCCTTCTAACCCTGGAGGCAGCTGTTGGCATCTGACTGTCACTCAGTCAGTGCCAGACCATCTAAGTGCTCCTCAGCCATGGATGCCAACGTGAACTCAAATCTAGACACAGGACAGACATCTCAAAGGACCTTGCAGATGACAATTTCATGGCTGTAGATTTCAGTTGACAACACTCGATGGGAAAGTTATGGTCTTTGGAGTCAGACACCCCAGAATTCAAATCCCAGCTTTGCATGTCCTGAGATAACTTAGGGTTTTTTACACAGCAGACAGAGAGAGAGAAGAGAGAGAGAGAGAGAGAGAGAGAGAGAGAGAGAGAGAGAGAGAGAGAGAGAGAGAAGCCTACTTTGTATTGTGCTAAGCACAATAGATGGTGGGCACCTGGTCCCTCACAGATGAAAACAGCTGTTGTTACACATGCTGGCCTGTCATGCCCTGAGCATGGGAATTTGTTAGGTCCCATTCTTAGTTGTAGGAAATATGGCTTTGGCTGTCAGTTCATAGCTATGAGGTAACTCAAAGGAGGGAAAAAAAACCCTCAAGAGGGAAGAGTCATATTTGTTTTGTAAAATAAATCACTGCTGGCTCATCCTGCCACATCTGTACTGGTAGCAATTATAAACCTTTCATTCTGACATTTTTTTTCCTTCAAAATAAATACTTTTGCAAAGTAGTTGTGTTTCTTTTCTTGCCTGGTCCATTTTGTAAAATTTTCACAATTCTAAATCAGAACAGCTATTGCTATACATAAGATAAAGTATGATTTTAAAACTAAAAAAAACTATATACTTGATATAAATGCAAGTATAAGATGCAAAAATTAAAAAGTGTAAATAAACAAACCAAAACAGAATCTAACAAACACCACATGAATGTCAACTAACTAACTCTGGCATCTTGTGACATTACAAAGTCCAGTAATTAAATGACAGAATACATGTCTTAATCTTCTTAGTAAGGTAATTCTGTCCTATAATGCCTTCCTTTGTATATTAACTGAATAAAATAACACCTATAAAATATTTCACAAACTTTGTTTTTAAGTGAAAATGCTTTTTAGTTAGGTATCCAGGACAGGCAAAACCAGATAATAATCTGTAAAATTTTATTAGTCTCAAGACTTTCACCCAATAGCTATATATGAGTATACTGTGACTTTAAATTTAAACTTTAAAAATAATAAATAATCCTTATTGCACAATTTGAACTCAATGGGAAATGTATGAAAGATCGAAAGTCCCCTTCTTCCCCCCTAATTCTCCTCTCCACAGCTGTCAGTCATTCTCTCTTCTCCCAGATCGTTGTCTATGTGCATTCATATTCATACATACCCGGAACCTGCATGAGACTGAAGGGTAGATTCTGAAGATAGGGGTTTTTGCTTTTATTTTTTCAACGTTTCAGAAGGTGCTGTGTTATACGTTGTCTGTTACTTCCCTCACCCTCTAAAGAAACTGAAGAGGCCCCTGCTGTGGGTTTTGAGTGGTTTCTTCCAGGCAGCAGGAGTACTGGATTCAGAACCGTAGGGCTCTGAGGCACCCTGGGCTTGACTGCTTGAGCGTCAACAGGGCTCTTAAGGTAGCTGTCCCCTAGAAAAGCCCAGGGTGTGAAGGATGTCCTGAGACCCTGCCTTCCCCACACCGGTGATCTCATGCTTAAGATGGCCTTTCGGGATCACAAGAGTGACTCACTCATTACTTCCAGACATGCTTAGAAATAAGTTAAAAGATCCTTTAAGGAACCCGATAAATTTGTTTCTACAAAAATCTGATTCTTAAGTGCATTCTTTTCTGTGTTTATTCATCAGGCCTGTCTATCACATGCTCGATTGCTTACTGAGAGGATACAAAAGAAGAGGGTCAATATTTGAAATGTTTCACTTTCATCATACAGAGGACTAGGTGAGTATTGAATGGTGCTGATGGAAACATGGATTTGAGGGACTCAACAAGGTTCTTTTCATTATGAATTGTAGACTAAACTCCAGCTTGAGGATGTGACATCACGGTTGTGCTCCAACTTGAGTTCATTGGAAGGACCTTTTTAGCATTTTTAGACTGGAAAAAAGTCAGAACTGAAATTTTGCAAAGTCTAACATTCAGAAACATGGCTGGGAATTGTGGAAAGGGATCCTGTATCCGCAGCCACCTCTCAGGCATCTGGTTTGTACAGATGTAAAAGGCTCGGGTGGGAGCATCCAAGAGTGGAGGGTTAGCTGAGAGCAGCACTAGGAGAAAGCCTTGGCCCTCATCAAACAAAGAAACATCTGCCTGCCTGAGGGTGACTGAGGATTTGATTAGCTCCCAGGGAGGTCTCTCTCTCCTCCTGCCCATTGAAAGCAGCAGAAGCTGGGGAGTCTTGGTGTAGGGGTACTGCTGAGTTATCAGAACACAGACTGGCAAACAGCCAGACATAATAATGTATTTCAAAGTCCTAGCAGTTGAACAGACAGCATGTAGGGCAATTCATTCTGAAGCAACTCCTGGTGAGAACAGAGTGAGGGCTTGGGACCTGTCATTTCTCACAACTGATGTCGTAAGTCTGCTGATCATCCCTGCTTTCCTCCCTGGTGTGCAAGTCTTCTCAGATGAGCCCCTCAAAAGTGTCTGTCACCTGCGTACTCCCAGGGTCCACCCTGAAGGTGGAAGAGTAAGCCAGTCAGTGTCAGAGACACCTTAGTTCACTGGTGTACATCCCAAATCCTCCTCTTGCTCTGTTTTGATGTTTAAAAATGCTTTTCCTTCGTTGAGGCAAGGATTCATGTATCCCAGGCTGGTTTCTAACTCACTATGTAACTAAGGCTGGCCTTCAACTCCTGGCCCTCCAGCCTCCACCTCTTAGGTGCTGGGATTTCAAGTATGCATCACTATCACACCCAGCTTTAAATAAACCTCTCCCCAACATAATTATTCCTTAAAAAAGAAAGAAAAGATGTTGACTGATGGTCTTCTCCCTCCTTTCTTCCCTCCCTCCCTTCCTCCCACACTAAGTTCCTTGAGCACAGATATCCCTGTACGTTCATCACTAATGTGAACCTCCAGCAGTTAGAACAGGGCTTGATATACAGCAGATGTTCAATATATATGTGCTGACTATGCATGAATACGGAGTTGGCAATCCTGGTTTTATATTTTAGATAACATAGCAGAAGCACGGTTTTTAAAGCCCCAAGAGCACTTCTGGATGGTAGTTCAGCGTCCCCCCCCACACACCTGCAGTCTACACAGTTGTTAAAGCTCACAGCAGTGAGCTCAGCTTACAGACTTCAAGTTGGGTGCCTTTGCTAGACTGGAACGTGGCTGGCCTGCTGCTGCAGATCAAATCGAAAGGCAGTGGAATTCAATGACACAGAGGGGTTTTGGTAACAGGGACACAATAATTGCTCAGTTAGAGCCTTTGCCTCGAAAGTTGTGTAGACTGGAAAACTGTATTTCATTATGTGGATGGGCTCCATCCACGCCTGACTGCTGTCTCCAACAGTAAAGCCAATTAATGTTCCAAGATGAAAAATAAAACTTTCAGATGCATAAACAAAGCAAGCTCATGGTTTGGCCCCTGCCATTGAAAGTTGCACAGAGGGCCAGACTTCATCTTAGTGGTGCTGGGATCAGAAGCAAGGGGAGTATTCCTAAGACTCACCATCTCAGCTGGATGTGTCCTTCCCAGGGGCATCTCTCTGTTCTCACGGGCCTGAGGAGTCTGTGCTGGACAGCAACCTGCAGTCACCAGCTCTAGACTCTCAGAATGGGGAAAATGAGCCAAAGTTTATTTCTAAAATTTCCTTTTGTGTAAGTCTACAGGATAAATGCATTGCTCTATGAAACATGTTGCTACCTCAATCAAGTCTTGCTACAGACTGAGAATCATTGCATCTCCCTAACAGATTAGACACGCACTCACTCACCTGCAGTAGTTCTTGAGTGCTCATTCAAGTTAAGGAGTGGACTTGGTCCCTGACTGATCTACTGGATGATTGGTTCTCAGTAGTTTAGGTCTTCAGCGGGTACCCATTTATCCCTCCTCCAAATAATAGTTTAATGTCCTATTTCCCACATCTTCCTCCTCCTTACATAAGCGACCTCCTCAGATCATGAATTCACTCTCCCAAACAGTGTCCTTCAAGGAAAGAATGAAGTGACATTCTGACCCACACATTCTGCTCCCTGGCAATTTATTGCTGCCTATAGATTGATGAATTGCCTTTTGAGCCTGACATGAAGCCATGAGCAGTGAATATGAGGCCCAAGGTCAGTTCACATGCCATTTCAGTGAGGGGTCCTCACTCCATGCCCAATGCCATGGCCTCTCTGTGTGAAGTCATTGCCTTTAAAAACTCTTGACTCCTTGTGCATATATTTCATTGCCCCTTGGTTTGGGGCCCAGCCCATGATTTATCTATGGATTAGCTCTGCCTTTGGAAGATCAACAGATGAATTAACAAGAGATTGGATAGAAAAGCCAGTCTTCCTGAAGAGTCAGCGTTCCCTTATCAACTCTTGAAACATGTTCCTGTAAGATCTTAGCCAGGAAACCTGTAAAGGCCACGGTGTGGGTCCATGAAGCAGAGGGTCACAGCTAGAGGTTCCTCTGAGGTCAGAATCTACCCTTAACCATCCTTAGGATGGTGAGGTCCCTGAAAAATGTTCAGAAATGCAAAATTGCTCACATATTCAAGGCATTGATCAGAGTTGGCCCTGTTACACTAACTACACTTTGCATGACTTTGTTCACCAACCTGGGAGTCCTGCAGTAGCAATAGGTTTCTTTATATCACTCAGTGTGTGAAATCCACTCAGAAATATAATGTCACCTGTGACTTAAAAATTTCTGTTATCCACATTTTAAAAAGTAAAAAATATGAAATGAGTTTTGAGTGCATGTTTTACCTAATCCAGTATTTCTCAGTTTTTTTCAATATGGAATTGATCTAAAATTATTAATGAGTTGCTTGACATTGGTATTTTGCTTTCAGTGGCAAGTCCTTAAACTCAGTACAAGATCTATATTGGCAGAACATCTGGATTTGGGGTAGCTGCATTCCATGTTCTTTGTAGCCATGCAGTGCCAGTATGAGACTTCATATCCAGCAATCTTCCCAATGAGATGAAATTCCATAGTTCTGGATCATGACTGAGGGAGCTCACCAGTCCTGTCCTGTGACTGTATGGTGTCTTTGTTTTCAGTACCTTAGTAATGTTTGGACACGTCCCTCACTAGGGGAGATGCCCTTGCCTTTTTTTTTTAAAGGTCATTGGAATTCACAGTGATTTTTCCAGTCCAGACTAGGTGTGCAAAGCCTTAAAGAACCCTTTAAAAAACTCTCCGTTCCCAAAGAGGGCCTCACCCTCCCCGGGGAATGATGTGGGGATTGGGTGGGGGGTTGGGGAAGCTGGTGGAGGGACAAGGGAGGAGGGGTAGGAGAGGGAGCTGGGATTGACATGTGAAGCATTCATGTTTCTAATTTAAATAAAAACATATATTGAGGGAAAGAAACTCTCTGTTCTCATTGGGGTCTCATAAATTCAGGGACAACATCAGCTTCTGCCTTACCTCCCTCCTGTTTCTGAGAAGATCTGGGATAATCGCTTCAGTTTAAAATCTTAAATATGATCTCCAGGTACCCTCCTGTGTCACCACCATGAGGTTGTGAAATATCTGATGAGCCTGACTCCATGATGGCCTTCCATAGCACCTAGAGCTCAAAGCTGTGAATTATTACTAGACAAAGATAGACTGAAGCCTGTGGCTATGGGACTGACCTATCACGAGGTTCCAACTTGAATGCCCTGGAGGTGATAAATAGATACCATCCTGAACTAGACAGACTTCATGGTTCCTGGGACAAGGGACCAGTGACCCGTCGCTGTGGGTCTGGACTTATGTGAATGTACAGTTGTCAGTCTGTGCTTAGAACTGACCAGATGAGTTGCTGCCATTAGGAAATAAAACAAAAACTATGTCACTCAACTAACCTTGAATAAAAAGAAACATGAATATGAGGGATGGAGTTATTGCTTTGGTAAATATTCTTATTTTAAATGACATCATATACTATAGTGAATTCTGACTAGGCATACTTAAACCTGAGACATGGTTTTTAGAATATAGATTAATAGAACACATTGTAAACTATCTCTTAGAAATAGATGAATTACTCAAAATTTAGTAAAGGCTGTTTATTAGTTACTTCTCTTTTGCTATGATAAAATACCACAACCATAAGGAACTTACAGAAGACAAAGGTTATTTTGGCTTATGGTTCCAGAAGCGGGGGTAGGAGGTGGGGGATTATAATGGTGGGTAAGGCATGACAGCACCCACCTGGAACTGTGAGAGACCACATTGTCCACCACAGAGAAACAGAGAGAAATGGTGATGCTATAAACTCTCAAAGACAGCCCCAGTGATGTGGTTCCTCAAGGCTCCAGCTCATGAAGGTTCCTCCCAAACATCTCTAAACCCAGCACTCTTGCCTCTGGTATGCTGAGATAACAGCAGTAGATGGAGTTTCTGGACTCGGAATCTTGACAATCTAGAGTTCAAGTTCCCCTCGTACCAAACAGCTGTGTGACCTTGGGAAGTCACCACATTGATATCCCCAGAGTTTGCATTATTGGGTATATTGGCCCAATTCTCTTTTCCTGTCTTGTACTCACAGGCCCTGGCTTTGTTATGAATCTTTGCTTCTAGGAACATCTTTGCTTCTTTCTGTCACTTGTCTAAGAGCCCCCTAGCAAATGCATTTACACTGCTTCTTTCTGTCACATGTCTAAGAGTCTCCCAGCAGATGCACTGACACATAGTTTTGAACAGTCTTCCTCTCTACCCAGATATCTTCTGGAGTTGTTGCTGCTGCTGAGGTGGGACTGGCATTTATAATGGTGGATAGCTTAGTTCAAGAAGGACAGCAAAAGGATGGCAACGTACAATGAGAGAGGAAGGTGTCCGTGGGTGGAGCAGGAGCTGAGAGCTCCTTCCCAGATATTTATTCAGTTGACATTAGGTGAGAATCCAGTCACTGCCCAAGCATTGTGTAAATGGTGGCAGGGGCTTGCATCAGGGGACTCTCTGACCACAGGACTTGGACAGAGCATAAAGGGCAGACTTGGAGCAAAGGAAGTTCTGTGTTCGAGTCGTGAAAGTGTCACTCCTCTATGAACCTGGGCATGATGTTTATCTACTCAGTTTCTGCTTTATCCACTTTAGAAAGAAATGGTAGGTCAGGTGTCCTTGTGGCTAGTTCTGCCTCTCGATTCTGCTGCACAGGGAGCGAGGAATGGTTCTGTTTAATAAACAGAGTCAGTATTTCTGAGCTGGATCTTAACACAGGGCTTTTCTACTAAGAAGATGATGTGTGTATCACATGAGTGTGGAATGGGGGAAAGTTACACCTGCAGGTCACTCGGAAAACATGGAAGTGAGTTTTCACAGGGGCCAGTGTTGGCATTCTTCTTCACTGAAGGATGTCGCTTCCTCTCTAGCGATTCAGAGCATAGAAAAGAACTCATTAAAAAAAAAAGGAAGATCTCATTTGAGCAGTGTAGAAAACAAAAGGCCCTTGTGTGTTATTGATGACATCTATTCAGATGCCCGTGGTTAATGCAGACATTCACAGCCATTATTTGCCCAAGAACAGATACTAGTCACACTGATGTGTTTTCTTAGTGTTCCTGTTTCTAGCAGCTCTGAGTATTCAATGGATGTCATGGCTCTTAATCTACAAATGGAATCTCCCTTGTGTTACCTACTTTTAACAGAGAGTCAAAACCCAACCCAGATTTGATGCTAACTTCCCCCTGTTAATTGTTAGAGAGCTACATTTCATTACTTTAAATAAATTCAATAGAAGCTATCCAATCTTTCGTAGCTGTAGTTTAGTGTCTTGCCTGGTCCTACGGCTGCTTTTCAACCCCAAATAAACACATGGACACTGCATTAGTTATAAAACTGTTGGTAGATGACTAGGGCTTCTTAATAATCTTAATTATTAACCCATTTCTATTAGTCTATGTATTTCCACATGGTCTTGGCTTACCAGGGAACGCCCAGACCTGTTACTCCTTTGTGGTCTACATGGCATCTCTGAGTTCACTCTCTGCCTACTTTCCCCAGAATTCTCATCATCTCCTCATCCTATCTTCCTGACTCTATTGGCCAAACAGTGTTTTATTCATGAACCAATAAGAGAAACACATATACAGAAGGACATCCCCCATAAATTTTTGGAGTTAGCAACTTAGCCTTCAGTTGTCTAAGCCCTTCTGGTGTTCCTGTGTCCAGTTGGCATCAGCCCTGTGAACACTTGCATGTATAGGAGGCAAAGTATGTTACTGTGGTGAAGCCCTGAACTTTTGGTGAAAGCTTGATTTCAAATTCTGGTTCTGTTACTCACAGCTATGTCACTTTGCCAAGTGCTAACCTCTTCAAGTTCACTTTCCAAATCTGTAAAAAGAAGATGTCACAACTACTTACCTCAAAGAGTCATTGTGAAAATGTCAATTTTTTTCAAATGTATTAAAGTGTACAGTGATTGGCACAAAAGTTAAACTACAGAAAATGTTAGCTCAAGTTGTTGGTAGTTATGAACTAGAAAGAGAATATTACATTTCTTCTTTCTCTGCCACCCATATAGCAGAGCTATGATTCCTTTCAGTGTTCTTTAAGCCTGTATACTAGAAGCAAGGTTGTTTCTGGACCACAGACCATAGCAAGGGTACTTGTTCAACCTGGGATGTTGTTAATCATTTTCCCGATGTCCTTTTAGCAACACTCCATAGACTACTATTTCATATTGTTGCAATGCTTACAAAGTCAGGAAGAAACACGATTAAAAGAAATATGCAGCCAAAGAGAGACAAGAGCAATTTCAAAAAATAAATTTCCAGCTTTAAGTCTTTTTTAAAAAATTGCTATAGTTTCATATGTTTGTGTAGACAGTAGCATAGTTTTAGTGAAATGCTTAAAATCTTTGAGGATACACATACAACTTCTTCAAAGCCTTGCCAAGAAACTAAGCATAAACAAATTCTCACTATAGACATATTTTCAAAGTCTTTTCAAGCCAGTGAATACAAACACTGCTCTATCTTCTATTTTCCCAGCCTCCCCATCAAGTGAATAATCTCTCTCTCTCTCTCTCTCTCTCTCTCTCTCTCTCTCTCTCTCTCTCTCTCATAGGCCAGTGGTACTTTACTTCATGTACTGGTAATCAGAGAGAAAAAGAAGTCCTTCTGTCTCTATCTCTGTCTCTATTTCTGTCTCTGTCTCTCTGTTTCTGTCTCTCTGTCTCTGTCTACTCTCACTCTCTGTCTCTGTCTACTCTCACTCTCTGTCTCTGTCTCTCTCTGTCTCTGTCTCTCTGTTTCTGTCTCTGTCTCTGTCTCTCTGTCTCTGTCTACTCTCACTCTCTGTCTCTGTCTCTCTGTCTCTCTCTCTCTCTCACACACACACACACACACACACTTACTCAAGTACTGGAGACTGAACCTAGAGCCTTGTATGTGCTAGGCAAATGCTCTACCATGAACGGTATCCCCCAGTGCTCTTTCACTTTTTGCCCCGAGACTGTCTTACTAAATTATTTGGGCTGGCTTTGAACTTCCTCTGAAGCCTAAGCAGGCCTTGAATTTGCAATCTTACCATGTCAGCCTCTCAAGTAGCTGGGATTACAAACCAATGCCATCAGGCCTGGCTTAAGTTGTAACTCATTATACCAGGATAAATATAGACTAGCAGTAAACTAGCTTTGCCTCAAGTATTGGAAACTTATTTATATTTTAGAATCCCAAAGACTGTTTTAAGCAGAATAATTATTATATTCTTAGAAAAAGGAATAAAAAAATGAGCTGAGAAGCAAAGAAAGGTTTGGCCTAAATTATGTCTAAGATAGGAATTCAAATCTTCCAGGATCTAAAATTCCTGGGATCTAATCTTTAGCCACAACCTTTTTCTTAAGAATTTTGGAGATAATAAGTAGCCAGGCATCCTTGTTTGCTGAGAAACTAGATTGGAGCCATGGGTATCCGGGGCTGAACGAGGGTCTTAGCCATTTTGAAGTATTTACAGAGAATTCTGAGAGAACACAGGGTTCCCTGATGTTTACACACAGTCAGCTTTCGGTGACTATTCATTCCAGAGACTTCCACAGACACACATGGGTTCTCCCTAACTCTCCAAGACTCTAGACCTCATCTCCGTTACAGTTGTGTTCTCGCAAGCATCTTTCCTAGGCCAGGAGGAAAAGAGCAAAACAGATCAAAGAGGTCTGGACAAAAGAAGCAATCCCTTATTCTCTTCTTCCATCTCAGCATACAACTCCCAAATGAAACTTTTTGGCCTTCCAAAACCAGAGAATAAATTTTGCTTCAGATCATAAAAGCCAAAATGAGCACCAGCAATAGAATATTCCAGGGGCAAACTCTCCACAGTGGAATGTGTTATGGTGATTACAGGGAAGAGCACTCTGGTAATAGGACAGAATGGGTGACTCTTATAAACATGGCTGAGAAAAAGAAACCAGGCAGAGCTGGGAGGTAGTGACAGACAACTTTAATCCCAGTACCTGGAAGGCAGAGGAAGGCAGATCTCTGTGAGAATTTGAAGCCAGCCTGGTCTACAGAATGAGTTCCAGAGTATCCAGGGCTACAAGGGGAAACCCTGTCTGAAAAAATAAAAAAAGGACAAAAGAAACCAGGCAGAGAAGGATGATCACTATATGATTTTTGTTATATAAAAAACAGGGAAAAAAAAGAAAAGGAATGTAGATGAAGATTTCTATCTGGGGATCTTCTGGGGTGACAGAAACTTTATGTTCTTTTTTTTTTCTGGGTGCTGGATACACAACTGTGTTTTCTGTAAAAAAATTAACTAATTATACATACACCATATATATAGTGTCTATATATTTCACTTCATCGAAAACCTTTTAGAAAATGGTTTGTGGAAGGCCAGTGACTCAGGGGTCCAAGACCCTTCAGACTGTTGTTTGATATTGCTTGCCTATCACTTAGTTCTTTCTGCATTTAGTGATTGATGTTAGGCAATAGCAGTACAAGACTCTTCCAAATGTTCCATAATGATATCCCTGATAAGCATAATCAGGGTTTGTCATTTTTTAAGCCTAGTGACTTCCAGATGTCTGTTCTGTTAATTTGTGTGCTGAGAACAGCTTGTTGTTGTGAACTTCTCAAGAAATGGACTGTTCTTGCCAGGATCCTATGAGCCAAAGGCTAAACCACGTCCTTTGTGTGAATGAATCAGCAAAGGCCATGTGTATCTACGGCAAGGTCGCTGAGGTGGTCATGGGCCAGCATGTGTACTTTAGTTAGTGGTGTGAGATTTCTCACGGTTGCCTGGTGCTACAGGGAAGGGGGAGCTTGAGTGTGACATGGCAAGGCGACAAGAAGACCTTTTAAGCCCCTCCACGACAGCAAGTTTTTATGCCGCTTGGTCGGCTTTCGAGTTCTAGAGATTACTAAGAAAGAAAAGAAAGCGAGTGCCTCCGTTTATCTTTGTATTTGTTTAGTGAGGGAACAAAACTAGGTTTAAAGGTTACTTTGTGTTAGTGATGATGTAGGAACCTGGACCCCTCTCAAGATCATCAAAAGGACAATCTTAAGATAGTTTTTAAATGCTTGAATCTTTAGAAATATCCATCACGGGGCCAAGGAGATGCTCAGTCAGGAAAATGCTTGCCTTGAAAACACAAGGATTTGAGGTGGATTCCCAGGTCCCAAGAGAAAAGTCGGGTCGTGTGATGCGCTCTTGTCATTCTGGAATAGAGAGATAGATACACAATTATTCTATATTTTAGTGAAACTATTTTGGTTTTGCCTTAAACTTCAGCGATGTAATATCCTAGCAGGCATCCTATAAAATGAGAATAGAAGAGTATAGCTGTGCAAAGACTTGCAGAGGATTTAAGTCCTTGTGGATTTCTGCTGTGCATTAGGAACACCTAGCTTCTCTTGGTCTCAGTTTCCACATTTTGCAGGTGGCATCAATAATTTTCATTCTGGCTAAATCATAGCATTATCTGTAGTTGTGTTGTGAATGTTATTTATTGATTTATTATTTTTATTTTGGGTGTTTTTTGAGACAGGGGTTCTCTGGGTAACCTTGACTGTCCTGGAACTCCCTCTACAAACCAGGCTGGCCTTGAACTCACAGAGATCCACTTGCCTCTGCCTCCTGAGCACTGGGATTAAAGGCATGCACCGCCACTACCTCCCCTGTTCTGCTGTGAATGTCATTTTTAAGGCCAGTTTTAAGATGTTTTCCTTAGTTATTTCAAATAGCAGGAGAGGGGGTGGAGAGGTTCTAAGAGCCAGAGGTACAGAAGAACTAGATGGGAACGGTATCTTCTAGACATGACAGGACCACTACACTCATGAACTCACAGCTGCTGTGGTTGCTGCACAAGACCTTCACAAGAGCAAGCCAGTCACATTTCCAGCAGGAGTGGGAAGGGACTCACATTCCCCGTTCTTAACTGATGGTTTCTGAGGGAGGGAGAGTCAGTTTTCTTCAAGACTGTGGGTCTTGGTGACTGACCACACTCCAGTAGATATCCCACACCCAGGAGCATAAGGAAAGTGCAAATTGGAGTTAATGGGTTATTTAATTAAAAAAAGAAAAGAGGACAGAAAGTTGGATTGTGGAGACAAGACTGGATCTCAGAGGAGGAAGAAGGAATAAGGGGGTAAAAATGATAAAAATTCATTTATGAAATTCTCAAAGAATTGATAAAATATTTAAAAGAAAGAAAAAATGCCCCCTCTTACTCCACTTTCTCCTTTAAAATACAGTTCCCTGAACTCTTGGCTGCCTTCACAGCTAGTACATCTGTGCTTCTCTTATGTGTGTATGTTTCTAAAACTGCTCACATTAAAAGTGCCAAAATAATAGCAAAGCAAGAAAATTGAAAGAATTTATAAATGAAGAGGCCTTCAGTTTTTAAAGATGATATCCAAAGCAGAGGACTTTGGTTACCCATCGTACTGCACAAAAGCCTACTTCCCTTCCAAAGCTGACTTGAGCCAGCACCAGGGCCGGAATCCCACAGGACAGACACAGGCTTTAGGAACTTCAGCAGTAATGGTCTTACAGTTTCTTTCTCGATCCCCCCCCCTTCCTTTCACATACTCTCCAAGAAGCACAAAAACGTCTTAGTCATGGTACAATGGGACAATTTACAAGAGTGTAGCTGTATAAGGAGTCACCCCTCAGTCACCTGCCAGTCACCCCCACCCCTTTTCAGAAGCAGACAGCATGTCTGATGAAGGCACCTGCTCGAGTGAATGGAAGGAGCGGAGGGTCTGGGAGAGCCTCAGGCCACTGCTCAGCCTGCTCACACTCCCCATCCCTCCAGTGAGAAGCTGTGCTCCAGCTGGACTCGGGCTTTGAGGGAACATACCCCTCTTCATTGACTTGGAGTGATCTTCTAGCAAACCTAAGGTTCCTTCCTGTACAGCCAGGACTTCCGGCTCAAAAGCTCAGTCTGTGGAACCCACCAGCACTTTGTCCTTCACAACATCCTAAAGCTCACTGAATACTGAAAACACCTCACAGTTTGCCCACGTTTATTTCTTTGGAAACATGAAACAATTTCATGCCAAGTGAAATAACATCAAATCAGTTTGACAAGACTGTCTTGTTTAGCCAGAGCCAAGGCTTTGCATACATTAAACACCACACCTTCAAATGCTTCCACCTAAAGGACCACCCTGAGCCATATTTGGTGCACAAGATCTGTTCTCCAGGCCTCCAACCACAGGAAGTGACCTGGAGTGCCCTGCTGACCTCGGATGACATAAGAGATGGCTTAGTGGTTAAGGGCACTCACTGCTCTTCCAGAGGACACATGTTCAGTTCTCAGCAGCCGCACGGCATCTCACAGCTGTCTGTAACTGCGGATCCAGAGGCTCTGATATCCTCTGCTGGCCTCCAAGGTACTGCATGGTGAACAGACATACATGCAAGCAAAACACTCATACGTGTGAGATAAAAGTACAAGCAGTATCTTTTTTTAAAAAAAGGAGGAGGAGGAGGACATCTTTTGGGATCCAACTGACAAGAAAAAGAACACTGTAGAATTTGATTCTGCTGGCTGTCTACTAGGTATAAGAACCAAAAAACAGCAGACTACCAAGATGACGCAGTGGGTAAAGGTGCTTGCCTTCCAACCCGAGTTCAGTCTTGGGGACCCACAGCCTAGGAGAAGAGAACCGATTCCTGCAAGTTGTCCTGTGACCTCACATTCTGCAGGGATGTATACACCCCTCCAATAAATAAACGTAATTAAAATGTTAAAGGTTTCAGCAAATAACCCTGAGCTTTAGGGCAGCTCCAGCTCACCTGGAATCATTCATGGATGGAAGTTCTGTCCCTGTGGAAGGTGACAAAAGTGTGTGCGCTCATGCTTGCTGGGAGCAGACAGTCCTGGGTCAGAGCCATTAACCCGCGCAATCTCTCAGGGGCTTTTGCTCTATCCTCCTTGCACAGTTGAATGCTTTATGGTTGGTTGAGTTTTTTCCATACAGAATTCAATGAAAGTTGATTTCCTCCATTTTCTCGTTTTAAAAAGAATTCTCTTACGGAAAACCTGCTTTGTCAGTCAGTTTTAAGACAAGCAGGCGGAACTGACTGGCTGGTTTGTTCCACCTTGAAAAGCATTTGAAACTGCTTGCTAAGGAAATCGTATTTTCTTAAAACGTCACGGCTCATTTCTTCCAGTTTTTTGTTTTGTTTTGTTTTTGGAAAAACTGACTATGAAGGCCTGGAGGTAACGTCCTTTTAATCTGCAGAAGCTGCTGGGATCCAGGCAGTGGGCTGCTGAAGGATTAATCAGTGCGTCCTCTCTGGAGCGTAGAGCCGACCACATGGCAATAGAAGCATTTCAGGAACTCCTACCGCACAGGGTACCGTGGTACCATCGTAATCGAGGCGCTGTGGCTCATCTTTCATACCCAGGGCCACTCTCGGAGCTCAGGAGCCTAGCTCTGGTTGCCGTGGTAGGATAATGGCTGCTACTTAAAATAGTGAAAGGATCACGTGCTCTCCCTGCCAAGCATGAAACAGAAGCCCACTTGTGCAGCTCCCTTTTGGTCATCCTGGTTCTGTTCCGGAATAATAAGCTTTAGAAAAAGAGTGGGCAGGAGCCCCGCAATGCAGTGCCCATCCCCCACCCCAACCTCACATCTCTTTGTTCCCCTTTCATCCTAGAGATAGTTCCCAGCAGAGGCATGTCCCCAGTTTACCTCGGCATAACCCCTCCACCCCCACGCCCGCTGCTTTGGGCAAGGCATCCAAGTAATCCCAGGAACCAGAGTTCTGATTGACAGGATGGCACTCCTCCCTAATGAGAAGGGGGAACTTTGGGCTTGTTGTTCCGCTGATGAATTAATACTGTCACTAAGCAACCATTTCCAACTGCAGTCCAGATCTAGCAAGATGAGAAAGAACGAGGTCACTAATTTCCCAGTCTTTGTTCGTTACCGGCTCACGGTTTTTTCTGAGCAGACTGTGAATATACAAAAGAGTGCCCAAATAAACTGAAATGGTTATGATGTATTTCAAGGCCGAGTGAGAGAAGATAACAGTGGCCTTCAAGCAGGCTGCCTTCACTTCCTGTAGCTCTAGGAAATTGTTCAAGAGGGCAAATGGGTGTGAGGGCCCCACTATACACAGCGTGGCTTCATTCATTTAAATTGTATAAAAATCCTGGACAGTAGATTAGCTTTGTTTGCAGATATCAGACACAGAACTCAGAGAGGTGAAGTGACTGGGCCGAAATCATGGAGAAAATAAGCAGCTGAGTCAAGCCTGGGTCCCGGCGCTGCGTGGTGTAAAGCCCTCAGCCTGCCTTCCCACCGCAGAAGCTGCCAGATTTCTGACCGATTAAGGAAGTGAGCTGGCCAGCTGCGCAGGCAACAGTGTCTATGAATAACTAAATATTTGCTAATTTAAAACTCCAGTCGAATTGCTCACCAGGTAATCATGATTTGATTTCTTCCTGGACAAAGTAACTTAACATGAATGGTATGCTCTCCTTGTGCTTATGGGATGTGCCGACCATGCCTGGCCCCACACAGAAAGGATGAAGAGAGAATGAAGTCCCATCTTCCTAGCAGCATGAGCACTACATTCCCAAGTCCACCAGATGGTGGTCTCTTTGCAGCATATATGTCTCCTTTGCTGCCTAGAAACCACTTCTCTTCCTCCAAGATGCTTCTCAGTAATGCCATGAGTCTTCCCAGATGTCCAATGCTCCCTCGCAGAGCACTCTGTGCACCATGGAATCCACCACTCAGACACTCATTTATTGGTGGAAGCTGTGTGGGTAGAACATCATTAACTAGGAACTTACTAATATTGTACCAGCTTCCCAAGTCAATTAGCACAGAATGTAAAGTCTGTCTTGGGCCAACCTGAGACAACTCTGTAGGGCTAGTGCTTCCTTTGGCCATCATTGAGCCCGTGCCATGATTTAACATCTCTGTTTGCCCTGATTCCTCCTATCTCCCCATAACATTGATCTCAAGGACAGCCTGGGTGCTCACCAATTCTTTCTTGGAGTCTGTTTCCTAAGGAGCCCAAAGTGCTACATTGTCCCATAGACCTTCTCTGTATCAGCCTTGCCTCTTAGAATGTGAACTCCATAGGGGACTAAGTCTCTTATTTGTTCAGTAACCTGAACTTTACACAGCAAGAGTCAATCATCATCATATCTGCAAATAGGATGCCTCAGTATCATTTGGCTATTACCATAATACTGCATTCCCTGGAGAAGTAGCTTTCCTGTTATCCCCCTCGAGAAACATCCATTACCCGACTGAGAGTAGCATGAACTCCTTCCTCCTCCCTTAAATCTGCTCTCGCTTGTATGAAGTCAAGCTGCATGGTGTTGGTCCTCAGGAACTAGAGAAATGCCGTGGGAAGCTAGGGGCAGAAACTGTGCCCGCAGCACCCCCAGTGTGTGGCCAGAGGGGATTATTCCAGAATATGAGGTCCCTGTATGCTGAAGCTCCTTCCAAATATAGATTACTTTTCCGTTAGTTTATTTAGGTATTAACCCAATTAAAAATACTGTATCAGGTTTGAGAGTGTGTCACTTGAATACCTAGCTAGGGGAGCCCCAGGAACAACCTGTCAGCAGTCATATTGCTTTCCTTGATGGAGGAGACGTCACAGAGAATGGGGACAGAGAGATAACAAGCTGAGGAACTTGGGAAGCCCAGAATTCATTCTCTGAAGCCATTTCAGAGGGTTAGGGTTCTTTTTTTCAAGGAAGGGACAAAGTTGCACCCACAGAAAAAGAAGGAATGAGCAACTGTCTATGGGATTCCAGTATCCCTTCGTACCTGTTAGTCTCATGTCATCGCCTAAACTGCTTTGCCATTATTATATCATAGTATTTTGTATTATTGACCAGTTACACTTTTGATCTAGCCTAGGTCCAGTGAGAAGTGTGGACAGGGCTTGTTGGTAGCCTTCTTTGTGGATTGTGAACCCTTAATCCAAAGAAACACTGAAAACAAGTCTCCTGCCCATACAGAGGGTATGCCTCCTCTCTTGACTCATGTCATATCAAGCTCAGAGTGGTCCCCATCTCATGTGATCCGGGAGACCTTCCTGTGTGGCGCAACTAGCTGTGTTTGTATGAACACCACCGTCTAAACAGCCCCCGGTGAGCACAAGCCAACTCTTCAGGTAAACAGAATGCATCCTAGTCTGGAGATTCTCCGCGTTCCTTTATCTTCTGCTCACTAGTTTTGACCCTTCCCTGCTTGTGGGTAAGACCTCCGGAAGCCACACAGCACCATGGTTTGCTTACTCTTGTGTAATGGGCAATTCTGGAATCTTTTGATTAAAAGCTGACTTAATAAGCAATCAGAATGTCCATTCCAAGAGCGAAGCCAAACCTCTGAACCTGGAAAGGTGTAGAATGCTTCCTCCTTCCAGCTGGCAGCTAGCCCTGGAGATCCGGGCGGTGGTCAGGCTGGCTTCTATGCAGTGTATGAAGAAGGAAGGCGGAGGGAAGAGAAGTCTCAACATCATTTGGAAGTCATACCCTACTGCCACCTAAAGCTGGCTCTTGATGTCTTGGGCTGCTTTCATTGGCTCCTAACTGGCTAGTAGCCTCCATAGTGGTTTTAGTTACAGCTTAGGGCAGCTCTGTTTGGAGGTGGCTGTCTTTCCTTCTTTGGTCATCAGGTATGTGCACCCAAGTTCTTGCTGCTAGGATCTCTTAGACACGCCCAGTGGGCTTTAGGACACAATCCATGATAACCCAACACTTCTCTGTCCCCATAGTCCATTGACAACATGACTTTGCCCTTATCCCCAACAAGCTTGCAGTGCTGGGCAGCTCAGCCACACAGCAGCAGCTTCCAAAACAAATGGTTGGCAAAGCTCTCCCTGGTGGGAAGTAACATAAAAATGGCCACAGGACCTCAGAAAAAGACAACAGAAACCATGAAAGAGAAGGCATAAAGAACGGTCACTTGGATTTGACCCTGGTCCCCAAATGTAGGACTCATAAACAGCATCCTTTGGAGCGGGATGCACCCAGGACAGGTGGACACCGCATGGCACTATCCACCGAAGGCCACCCCACACGATTTCCTTTCCTGCCCAGTGTCAAGGCTCTCTTTAGTCTCCTGTGTGGTGAGCAGGCTCAAGACTCCTGAGACGCAGTCTCTGAAGTTGCCTTTGAAACCCACCTGGAAATGTCTCTCCTCTGAGGAGTCACAGACAGACTGAGTTGGGTGTCTTGTCAGGGTGTCATTGCAATGAGGAGTCATAGGCAGACTGAGTTGGGTGTCTAGTCAGGGTGTCACTGCAATGAGGAGTCACAGACAGACTGAGTTGGATGTCTAGTCAGGGTTTCGCTGCAATGCCAGTTACAGTTTATGGATATTGTTTGTGGCTCCGTTGCTGGTATGCACACCCCAATAACTTCTAGTTACTTAAGACAAAACCACACAGCTCAGTGTGTGTTTACCTGAAGATAAAAATCAGAAGGACGACAGACTCCCAGCCTCAGCTGTGAGAGAGAAGCATTTTTTTCCATGCTGCTTGCACAACTTGAGGGCTGGAGGAGAAGTTCATGACCACCACTTTCCTTTCCAGGGAGTGAACAGGGAAAGGCCCAGCAAGGGGTCCTTATGCTGCTTTGGAAGACAGCAGGGACAAAAGCAGGATGAAGAGCCGAGAAATTCTCCCATCTCCTTCCTTCTCTTCCCTCTCTCCACCCCACCCCCGTCTTTCCCACTTCCTGTGTGCAGACACATGTGTTCATGCATACATGCATGTGGTGGCCAAAAGACAATCTCTGGTGATGTTCTTTAGCGCTCTCCATATCTATTTTACTTTTTGAGATAGAGGGATCATTCACCAGCCTGAAACTCACCAAATAGACCGTGCTGGATGGCCAGTGAACCTCAGGAATCATTTCCCCAGTCCTGAGATCTTGCCACCATGCCCGATTTTGCTTTCCGGTGGTTTATTTTCATTGCTGTTTGTCTTTTAGTCTGTGTTCTGGAGATTAAAATCTGTCACTATGCTTGAGATGTAAGTATTTACTTTGTTTTTGTTTTTCAAAAGTTTATTTGAGCCGAACAGTGGTGGCATTTGCCCTTATCCCAGCACTCAGGAGCCAGAGGCAGGAGGATCTTTATGAGTTCAAGTCCAACCTGGTCTACAACACTACACAAAGAAACCCTGTCTCAAAAAATGCCCCCACCAAAAGTTTATTTGATGTGTGTGCATGTGTATGTGATATGTGTGTGCATGTGTATGTGTGTGCATATATGTGTGTGCATGTGTACATATGTGTGTGCATGTATATGTGATATGTGTGTGCGTGTGTATGCGATGTGTGTGTAATATGTGTGTGTGCATGTGTATGTGATGTATGTGTATGCATGAGTATGTGATGTATGTTTGTGTATGTGTGTGTGCATATGTATGTGATGTATGTGTGTATATGTGATGTGCATGCATGTGTATGTGATGTATGTGTGTGCATGTGTATGTGATGTATGTGTGTGCATGTGTATGTGATGTATGTTTGTGTATGTGTGTGTGCATATGTATGTGATGTATGTGTGT